AGACTCAAAAAAAAAAAAAAAAAAAAAAGAAATTGTAATGCGTATGTCCCCAGTATGTTTGTTACGTGGCTTTGTAGACACTGCAGTTTTTACGAAGCTGAGAAAGAAAAATAAAGGAAGCTATGAGTGCTGTATCCTAAGAATGGCTGGTCAGGAATCACCAGTGTCCACAAGTTGGGAAATCAGAGTCTGTCGAATGTACTTCCTGTATCAAAATTGCTTTAGAAATACAGATTTGAGAGCTCTGTCTCCAGGATTTAGTTGAGTAGGCCAGAGTGTGAGGCAGTCATATTGCTTTTTAACAAGCCTCCCACATGATTTTAGGGAGTCGCTAATATGTTTGAGACCCACTTGGTGGAGCAGCTTTAGCCTCAGAACCATGGACAGCGCAGGTGCCCTCTTCATCAGCAGGGGCTTCACTGGGTCTCTGGCACTTGGGTGCCCTGCCTCATCTGTTGAGTCAGGCTCCCTTCCATCTCACCCGTGAGGCCTGTCTCTTCTCCAGAAACACCCAGCAGGCTCCCCTTCCCTCCTGCAGCATCCTGTCAGTATGACTAAGTGACAACATGGTGAGGTTTGGCTTCCTGCTCTGGGATTGGGCCTGTTTTCTTGGCTCTTGGCTCTCTGTGTCCTCTTCTTTTCTCTTTGGCTGTCATCAGCTCTGCCCATCTCTCAGGGCCACCAGATTTTGGTGGTGGCTTTCATTGGATCAGGCAGACTCAAGGATGTTCGGGGCTGCTGTTTCCTACTGTCACCTTCAGGGTCTTTTCCTATCTCTGTGCTGGCTGTGGCGGGTGAACTGCTTGCTCTGGGGTGAGATTTCTGTGACCCACATAGGCTTAACCAGGGTGATTCTTCTGCCCCTCCTTCTATCCACCACAGTGCCCCAGGATCTGATGGATGTCTCCGTGAGCAACCTCCCATCCCTATGGCAACCCAGTCCCCGGAAGTCCTCCTGTTCCTCCTGTTCACAGAGTGGCTCGGCTGATGGTGGCTCAACCAATGGCTGCAACCACGAGAGGTATGAGGAGCTTGAGCTGCTGATGGAGGAAGCTGAAGGATGTATCAGAGATCTGTAGATGCCCATATCTTACCCTGCACTGAATTCAGAATGAACATAACCTGTGGACTCAGGCAGATATAGGTTAAATCCTGGCCACGAAATCCTAGCTGTTAAAGGGTCACGTGTATTAGTCAGGATAAACAAGGTTATGGTGCAGTAACAAACAGTCCTAACATCTCAGTGGCTTTTTTATAACAAAAGTTTATTTATCATGCATGCTGTGTTTCTATCTTGGGTCATCTGGTGCTATTTTTTCCACACTAAAGGGCCTGGGTGATGGAGCAGCTACCATCTTGAATGTTGCCAGTCACAGTGACAGGGAAAGGTAACACTGCAGAGATTGGAACCCACAATAAGAAGGCTCTGCCCAAAAGCAGCACATGTCACATCCACTCACAGCCCATTGGCCCCATCCACAAGGGGACAGCAATTGCAGCCCTACCATACACCTAGAAGGCAGAATAATCCTAGAACTATAATTTAATGACAACCACATCTCAGTTTGCGCCTCCACACAGTGGAAATTCCAGTTCTTACTTTATATGGCTGTGGTAAGGACCAGCTCAGGTAATGGTTTAAAGTGGCCAGAATGTGGCACCTGCACATGGTACTGTTCAGTAAATGTCACTTCCTGTTTTGTTGTATAAAGTTAAATCTCAAGCTCATCTCCTGTTTGCCCATAGATCTTTTGTCTCTTTGAAACTATTCAGCCAGTTCATGAGACTAGTTTTGTTTTCACCTGGTCCAACCTGGCCTGGCCTGAGAGAATGGAACCCTTTTGTCCTTGCGGGGCTTCTGTCCCAGTGGATGGTCCAGTCATCAGCCATAGGATGTAAGAGGTGGGAGTCGGCATCAAATTTTTGAAGTCATCCAACCCCCTGGTTCCTCAGGGTGTGGTCTGTGAACCAACATCAGCACCTGGGCAAATTCAGAACCTGTATTTAACATGGTTTCAAGACCATGTGTATACTTTGAAGTTTGAGAAGTGCTAATATTACTGGAGATTCTTTTTTTTTTTTGAGACAGAGTCTCTCTCTGTCGCCCAGGCTGGAGTGCAATGGGGTGATCTCGGCTCACCTCCCATGTTTAAGCAATTCTCCTGACTCAGCCTCCTGAGTAGCTGGGACTACAGGCACGCACCACCATTCCTGGCTAATTTTTGTGTTTTTAGTGGAGATGGGGTTTCACTATGTTGTCCAGGCTGGTCTCGAACTTCTGACCTCAAGTGATCTGCCTGCCTCGGCCTCCCAAAGTGCTGGGATTACAGGCGTGAGCCACTGCACCCAGCCTGGAGATTCTCTTATTGTGCATCAGAATCACCTGGCCTAGGTGGCAAGACATACCAGTTCCTGGACTACTTCCTAGAGGTCTTGACTGAGTAGGTATGTGCGGGACCCAGGAATCCACATGTTGGAGAAACTCTGAGTAACTCTTGGGCTGATGGTCCATGGACCAGTGAGAAAGGCTGCTATAACCCATTGCCCCCTCTCCTGTTGTAGCATCTGCTTACACACCTTGAGTGATGGAGAACTCACTACCTTGCAGAAAGCGAAGTCTACAGTGGGAAAGCTGTTGATGCGATCCTATTCTCATGTAACCTGAGCAAGTCTGAGCCTCACCAACCTGAGGGCACAAAGGGGGACTCTTTCCTGCTTAATGTTCCTACCTGCCTCCGTATGCCTAAGTGGAGGACGTCAGCTATGCTCCTCCTGCCCTGCCCCAGTCTACCTGTTTTTCTGGATGTCTCTTGGGATGTCCTGAGAATAAATATGCAGATATTCTTCCATTCTATCCTCTACAAGAGTGTACAACACTCCCTTCAGTGTCCTGGATTTCTCCAACAATGCTAGAATCTGACTCCTCTCACCTCTTTTAGCCAAAAAAATTCCCAAAAATTCCCAAAGAGAAGCTTTGAGACGTCACCTACTTAGCAATCAGCCAGATTCCGAATCCCAATTTGGTTTAGCTTGATTCAGCTGGATCACTTTAGAAATCAGAATGCTTTCTGCAAGGAATAGAAACCCACTTCAAACTGGTTCAAGTGAGAAAGGAAATGTGTTGGCATAACTGAGAAGTTCAGAGACACAGTGGCTTCAGGCATGGCTGGATACAGATGATCGAAATAGGAATCTCTGTTTCTTCAGCTCTTGGCTCTGCTTGCCTCTATGATGGTTCCATCCTCAGACAGGCGCTTCCTATGCAGTGGCAAAGATGGCTCCCAGCAGCCACTGCCCGATATCCCACTGGCTTAGAAACCCAAGCAGAGAAGTGTCTGTTACTTAGTAATTCCAACAAAAGTCCCAGGGCTAATTCTCACTGGCTCAGGTTGGGTCACATGACCATCTCTGCCCCAATCACTATGACTCCAACCTGAGTCCTATAGTGGGCAGAGTCATCCCCATGCAAACTACACAGACAGAGAGTTGTGGAGAGCGTGATTTCTCAGGGGAATATTGGGGCTGGTAGCAGAAGAGGCGATAATGCTGTACAAGTAGAGATAATAGGTGCCCTCCCTACAGTCCCCCTGATTGGTTGATTTTAATCTGCCCTCTAGAGATAACACATGGTTACCCTCTCCAGAAAATCTGGGCTGTGTTTGGATCTATTCTAAGCATCTCCCTCTTTCTCCACCTGCAGGGCTCCCCTGAAACTTCTCTGTGACAATATGAAGTACCAGATCCTCTCCAGAGCCTTCTATGGATGTACGTATAGGGCTTCATTGCCAGTGTGTCTCCGTGGAGCAGCTATTGGTGCCTGCTGTATGCCAGCAACATCAAGAGATACTGGCTCTGGAATTTGGACCTCTCCTTCTCTATTCCCTAAATGTCTGGTTTTAGTGACATTACATGAACCTCTCTGAGCCTCAGTTTCCTTGTCTACTGACGGGAGAAATTTTATCCCTGGGTCCTGACAGTGGGGTCCCCTGGGGGCAGAGATTTGGTTTAATCACCACTGCATCCCCAGGTGCCGCAGCGGAGGACTTGTTTTCAGGATTGAATGAGGACCACGTAGAAAGCCCCTAGCGCCTAGTATTGCATGCTGTAGATGCTCAATGAATGTCAGTTTCCTTCTCTCATGAGCAGAAGCTGCAGCACGAGTAAGGTGACCTTATCCCTCCCCCAAAACTTAAATATTAAATTCATAATACTTGTGTTCTGATTATTTCCATTTAACAGATGAAGACACTAAGGCACAGAGAGGCAAAATGACTTGTCTAAGGTCACACAGCTAACAAGCAGCAGAGCTGGGACTCAGATCCTGGCCTGTCTGACTCCAAAAGCTTTGTGTTTTCCTCTCTGCTGTCTTGTCTTTTCTTTTTTTTTCTTTTTTTTTTTTTTTGAGACAGAGTCTCGCTCTGTCACCTAGGCTGGAGTGCAGTGGCGTGATCTCCACTCACTGCAGCCTCCGCCTCCCGGGTTCACGCCATTCTCCCGCCTCAGCCTCCTGAGTAGCTGGGATTACAGGTGCCCGCCACCACACCTGGCTAATTTTATGTATTTTTAGTAGAGACGGGGTTTCACTGTGTTAGCCAGGATGGTCTTGATCTCCTGACCTTGTGATCCACTCGCCTCGTCCTCCCGAAGTGCTGGGATTATAGGCGTGAGCCACCACGCCTAGCCTTTTTTTTTTTTTTTTTTTTTGAGGGAGAGTCTCACTCTGTCGCCTAGGCTGGAATGCAGTGGCGTGATCTCAGCTCACTGCAAGGTCCACCTCCCAGGTTCATGCCGTTCTCCTGCCTTAGCCTCCCGAGTAGCTGGAATTACAGGCACCTGCCACCACACCCAGCTAATTTTTCTGTTTTAGTAGAGACGGGGTTTCACCATGTTGGCCAGGCTGGTCTCAAAACTCCTGACCTCAGGTGATCCACCCACCTCAGCCTCACAAAGTGCTGGGATTACAGGCATGCGCCGTCATGCCCATCCCCGCTGTCTTGATTTTTCAGTTTTATTTCCCCAGCCTCACAGCCTATATGGGGAAGATGAAATGTGTGTGTATATTCAGGGATTCTAGAAATATCTTAATACAACCTGCATGGGCCTGTGAAACAGCAGTGGCGCTCACACCCTGAGTGCCTGGAGAGGCAGGGAGAGTGTGACTCCACTAGGGCAGGGGTTTTATCTGTTCTGTTACCCATCTGCAGTGCCTAATGCAGGACCTGGCACGAAGCAGGCTTTGGGCAAGTATTTATTAGACCCAAATGGAAGCTCTTCCTGCAGGAAGGGGTGGGGGGTTGAGATGGGTCTGGAACAATGTTGTTGGTCGATGTGGCTCATCCCTGACGGTGACTGAGAACCCGAGTTCTGGAGCGAGGTGGCCTGGTTTCAGATCCCAGCGATGTGACTTGGGCATGTGACATAACCAGTTTTTACCTCAGTTTACTCCATCTATAATACGGAGATAATAATGGTCGGGCATGGTGGCTCATGCCTGTAATCCCAGCACTTCCGAAGGCCGAGGCGGGCGGATCACCTGAGGTCAAGATTTCGAGATCAGCTGGGCTAACATGGTGAAACCCCATCTCTACTAAACATACAAAAAAAATTAGCCGAGTGTGGTGGCTCACGCCTGCAGTCTCTGCTACTCGGGAGGCTGAGGCAGGAGAATCGCTTCAACCCAGGAGGTGGAGGTTGCAGTGAGCCAAGATCACACCATTGCACTCCAGCCTGGGCGACAGAGCGAGACTCCATCTCAAAAAGAAAAAAAAAGATGGAGATAATAGTAGTAACTAATTTCTAGGGTTGTGGGGAGAATGGGATGAGTTAAGTTACGTAACTCTGGGAATAGCTCCTTGCCATGCAGTGTGTGTTGTGTGTTAGCTATTATATCATCGTCATCATCCTCCTCCTCAGCATCATCACTATGATTGTCTCTTTTGTTAAGGTTTAGTCTGCAGTCTCCAGAAGGTCCAGGGTTCTCTCTGAGAATTGAGGATGAAATAGTCTTGGAGAGCCAGAAGGAAGGGGCACAGCCAGAGCAAACAGCAGAGGCTGGCATTTGCTCAGCACTTTACCTAACATCCTCCAGGTGCCAGTGTGGGCCAGATAAGGGTGGCACGTTGGTAGGCATGCTTTAAGAAGGCAGGGCCATCTTTGAAAGCAAACTTGGTGCCCCTTCAGCATCTCCCTGGTTACTGACTTAGGGGGGTCTTTCTAATTCGGCTGCAATTTTTGTTTTCTTTTTTTAAATTTTAAAATTTCTATTTTTATTTTAGGTTTTTTGAGACAGGATCTCACCTTGTCATCCCAGCTAGAGTGCAGTGGCACAATTACGGTTCACTGCAGCCTCTACCTCCCTGGCTCAAGCGATCCTCTCACCTTAGCCTCCCAAGTAGCTAGAACTACAGGCGTGAGTTGCTGGAACTACAGGCACGTGGCACCATGTCTGGCTAATTTTTTGGTTTTTTTTTTGTAGAGATACGGTCTCACCTTGTTGCCTAGGCTGGTCTTGAACTGCTGGGCTCAACAAATCTGCCCACCTAGGCTTCCCAAAGTGTAGGGACTACAGGTTTGAGCCACTGGACTGCCCTGTTTTTAATTTATTTTTTGATACATATATTGTGGTTGTACATATTTTAGGGGTACATAGGATATTTTGATAGATGTATCCATTGTGTATTGATCAAGTCCAGGTCATTGTGAAATTCATCACTTCAAACATTTATCTTCATTTGGGGAACATTATGGTTCTTCTTTTATAGTTATTTTGAAATATACAATAAATTATTAACTATAATTTCCCTACTATACCATCCATTACAAGAACGTATTCCATCTAACTGTATTTTTGTACCATTAACCAACGTCTCTGCGTCCTCCTCCTACCTCCTTCCCTTCCTAGCCCCTGGTAACCACCAGTCCACTCTCTACCTCCATGAAAACTACTTTTTTAGGTTCCATTATAAGTAAGAACATACGATATTTGTCTTTCTATGCCTCGCGTTTTTTGCTTAACATAACCTCCAGTTCCATCCACGTTGCTGCACATGACAGGATTTCGTTCTTTTTATGGCTGAATAATATTCCATTGCATTTGTATACCACGGTTTCTTTATCCATTCATTCATTGATGGACACTTAGGTTCATTCTGTATCTCGGCTATTGTGAATGGTGCTGCAGTAAACATAGGGGTGCAGATACCTCTTTGATTTCCTTTCTTTTGGATAAATACTCATTCAGCTGCAATTTGAACCGGAGTTGTCCACATTTCACATTCTCTTTCTTGCTGTATGGATTAGAGGCAGACAGAGGCACAGCAAGCCCACAGAGTCACTGGCCACCTTCCTTTCTGCCCCTTCTCTGCCTCTAGCCTATGAGTTAAATGCTTTGGCTTAGAGCAGAGAAGGGTGCCATCATCCTGACTGAGGCTGAGGAAGGTGATAAGACTTCCCTGTGGTTATAGAGCTATTTAGCAGTCCAGCCAGCAAGTGCATCAAGCTCCATCTTCCTTGTCTGGAAAAGGGGAAGTTGACGAGCATTCACTGAGTCATGGCGTTTAGTAAGAACAGGAGTGGGCCAGGTGCAGTGGTTTGTGCTTGTAATCCCAGCACTTCGGGAGGCTGAAGCAGGAGGATCACTTGAGTCCAGGAGTTCGAGGCCTGCCTGGGCAAGATGGTGAAACCTCGTCTCTACAAAAAATAAAAAATTAGCCAGACATGCTGGCTCGTGCCTCCAGTCCCAGCTATTCAGGGGGCTGTGGTGAGAGGATCGCATCAGCCTGGGAGGTAGAGGCTGCGGTGAGCCATGATAATAATAATTAATAGAGCAAGACCCTGTCTCGAAACAAAAATTTTTAAAAATGGGGGGTGGGACAGCATTTGGGAGGCCCCATGAGACAAAGTGAGGGGCTTCAGGTGGTGGATGATGACACTTGCCCTCCCTCCCTCAACAGGGCTGGCCTACTGCAGACACCTGTCCACCGTGAGGACCCACCTGTCAGCCCTGGTCAATCACATGATCGTGTCTCCGGACTTGCCCTGCGATGCTGGACAGGGGCTGACAGCCGGGATCTGGGAGCAGTACCTTCAGGACAGCACAGTAAGGCTTAGCCGGGCTTGGTCTGCAGTGTGCCTGTCTCTTATACACATCTAGATGTGTATAAGAGACAGGTTACCACCCATCCGCAGTGCCTAATGCAGGACCTGGCACGAAGCAGGCTTTGGGCAAGTATTTATTAGACCCAAATGGAAGCTCTTCCTGCAGGAAGGGGTGGGGGGTTGAGATGGGTCTGGAACAATGTTGTTGGTCGATGTGGCTCATCCGTGACGGTGACTGAGAACCCGAGTTCTGGAGCGAGGTGGCCTGGTTTCAGATCCCAGCGATGTGACTTGGGCAAGTGACATAACCAGTTTGTACCTCAGTTTACTCCATCTATAATATGGAGATAATGGTCAGGCATGGTGGCTCATGCCTGTAATCCCAGCACTTCCGAAGGCCGAGGCGGGCGGATCACCTGAGGTCAAGGTTTCGAGATCAGCTGGGCTAACATGGTGAAACCCCATCTCTACTAAACATACAAAAAAAATTAGCCGGGTGTGGTGGCGCATGCCTGCAGTCTCTGCTACTCGGGAGGCTGAGGCAGGAGAATCGCTTCAACCCAGGAGGCGGAGGTTGCAGTGAGCCAAGATCACACCATTGCACTCCAGCCTGGGCGACAGAACGAGACTCCGTCTCAAAAAGAAAGAAAAAGATGGAGATAATAGTAGTAACTAATTTCTAGGGTTGTGGGGAGAATGGGATGAGTTAAGTTACGTAACTCTGGGAACAGCTCCTTGCCATGCAGTGTGTGTTGTATGTTAGCTATTATATCATCGTCATCATCATCCTCATCATCATCATCACTATGATTGTCTCTTTTGTTAAGGTTTAGTCTGCATTCTCCAGAAGGTCCAGGGTTCTCTCTGAGAATTGAGGATGAAATAGTCTTGGAGAGCCAGAAGGAACGGGCACAGCCAGAGCAAACAGCAGAGGCTGGCATTTGCTCAGGCACTTTACCTAACACCCTCCAGGTGCCAGCATGGGCCAGATAAGGGGTGGCACATTGGTAGGCATACTTTAAGAAGGCAGGGCCATCTTTGAAAGCAAACTTGGTGCCCCTTCAGCATCTACCTGGTTACTGACTTAGGGGGGTCTTTTTAATTCGGCTGCAATTTTTGTTTTCTTTTTTTAAAATTTAAAATTTCTATTTTTATTTTATGTTTTTTTGAGACAGGGTCTCGCCTTGTCATCCCAGCTAGAGTGCAGTGGCACAATTACGGTTCACTGCAGCCTCTACCTCCCTGGCTCAAGCGATCCTCTCACCTTAGCCTCCCAA